TTATCAAATTATACTTTTTCACATGCTTTTAATATAAATGTTGAATAAAATCTGCATATATATTTAATTTTATTGATTGTTAAATTTTTTTGCCCAACTCTTGTTTTTTTTTTAAAAAAATGATCAAACGAAAATCGAATAATAAATTAGCAATAGTTATAAGACATACAAAAGTTTGACCGAAAGTGCAATGTAACTGCATGAAATATAATAGTCATTTGGTTGATACTTGAACTAGAAAAATCCATGAAATAAAATATAATCGGCTTAAAGCTTCTATTTTTAAAAGGAAAAAAAAGAAACGGAAACCTCTAGATCAAAAATACAATCAAAATCCATTAGGATTAATTTGCAAAATTCAGATCACAATGATGATGTTATACAACCTAATTTGGTCAGTTCTTCACAAGACCTCGATGGTGATGTTTTGTTAAACAAATATTCTTTACCTAATTTGGCCAGTTCTTTACAAGAACTTGATGACAATATTTCATTAGATGAGGATTCTTTATCAAATTCAGTCAATTCTTTACAAGACCTCGATGATGATATTTTGTCAGACGAAGATAGCTTCACTAGTGATAGAATAATTTTTGCTACAAAACCAAATAATGTTAGAAAAAAGCGAAGAAAATACAATCAGTTTTGTATGACTAGCAACTATACCATTATCATTCCAGATAAAGAATATGAACAACAAGTTGATTCCTCTAGTAATGACAAAGAATTTTGGTCAGTTAATGAGGAATCTTCTTTGGATGAACTATTGTTAAATGATAACAAATCGTTTGCGATACCTGAATATGTAGAAGAATTAGATACAGAAAATACATCCACAAACATAAATATGAATGATTTTTGGATTCTTTTATGGATCTTTAAATATCAAGAAAAATTCAGGCTTCCAGATATTGCAGTCGATTCATTAATCAAATTCTTCAGGGTAGTACTGTCTGATACTAATAAAAAATGATTCAAAAAATTTCCTGCAAGTGCTTATATGGCAAGGAAGTTATTAGATATAAAAAGGAAATCAAAAACATATGTTGTTTGTCCTGAATGCAATAAAATATATTCTATTATAACAAATCAGATGAATTCAGAATGTAAATACTCTCATGTAGAATTCCCGAATGATTCAATGCAAAATCAATGGGAAGCTTGTGTGGCAGAATTACTTACGAAAATTTCAGTAACAAACGGATACATATGGCGTCCTAAAATGATATATATATTGCCTTGTCTAAGGACTCAAATAATTACAATGTATTAAAGGTCAGGCTTTGAAGAACTTTTAAAGAAATTGGTAACTCAGGATAATGAAATCAGCTTACTTTCTGATATCTATGATGGTGAAATATGATGAAAATTTCCATCACACATGGATAATGTAAATTAAGAATGATTTTTCACACCTGTAACAGCCGATTCTTATTTAAGATTAATAATAAATCTTGATTGGTTCTAACCATTCGAGTCATCTTCGTATAGCAGTAGTATAATATATGGTATTATATGCAATCTACCACGGGATGTTTACTTCAAAAAAGAAAATATTTTAACTCTTAGCTTGTTATCGGGACCGAACGAGGTCAAATTACATCGAATAAATCATTATCTTACCCTGATCATAGATGAATTGCTGGAATTCTGAAATGGTGTAGATTTATCAGCTACTAACCAGCATCCTGTTAGTAAAAGAATCAGATTAGCAGTAATCTGTTGCAGCAATGATATTTCAGCTGCACGAAAATTATGTGGATAAATTTCTGCTTTAGTGGGTTGTCATGGGTGTTACAAATATGCAGATAGTATTGATGGAGAAAGAGCTAATTTTAGAGGTTTTGATAATATATCTGAATGGTTTAGAATGCGGAATCCAGAAGAGCATCGTCGCAATACTACTACTATTTGAAAATCTAAAAAAACAAAAGAAGATAGAAAATAACATGCTAAAATAACTCATGTTAGATGGTCTGAAATGCTTAGATTACCCTATCATGATCCAATTAGGCATCTAGTTGTAGATCCTATGCATTGCTTGTTTCTGGGCATCGCTTATTGAATAGTAAAGAGGTTATAGATAGATGGTGGAAAACTAACAAAACAAGATCTAGAACTAATAAAAAAATGGTCAAAAATGATTAAGGTACCAGCGGATCTTGGAAGAATTCCATGCAAAATTGCAACTGGAGAAGGTTTTTCTGGTTTTACTGCAGATCAATGAAGGATATTCATTATGGTTTACGCTACTCCATTGTTTTAGGAACTTTTGGATGAAGGAGATCTTCTTATTAGTATCAAGAATTATCAATGAATGTGTACTAGAAGAAGCCTATATCCGATTATTGACAGTTGCTCATTTAATCAAAGACAATTATGACCTGGTAATGATAACACCAAATGTCTATTTATCTCTTCATATTATGGAATGTTGTCAAGATTATGGTCCTTTATATTCCTTCTGGTGTTATTTTTTTGAACGCATGAATGGAATTTTAGGGTCCTTTCCTAACAATCATCGTAAATTAGAGCCTGAATTATCGTGAATAATATTACACAATTGGAGACTGGACGACCTTATATCATGTTATTTGATGCTTGTAGAATGCTTGAAGTTCATACAACCAAGAACAACTGTGGGAAGCTTAGCCGCTTATGACAATTTCGAATATGTAAAGCTAGCTCATTTTCTGCAAATCTATCATCTGAAAATAGATGATACTATTATGGGTTTAGAAACTTTCCTAGGAGAGATGTTATCCCCCAAAAAAGCAATGTTAACTTACTAGATAACATTTATAATATTCTGGTAGAATATTATAACGCAGCCTATGATTCAGATTTTGTAACTATTGCAGAATTAGTTCAAACGAATATATGACATTCTGGACAACGGACTGTTGTTATACTGACTATCAACCAATTTGAGAGAATACAGATTGGCACTGAGACTTTCAGATCAATAAATATATCACGATTTTACAAGAATTCTTTCATTCTTACGAGATTTATTCATGATAACAATATATGTGATGTGTATTCTGGTTAAGTACAATTTAAACCTTTCAGATGGTAAACGTAAACATTACCTGGCATATGTAAAATGGTTCTTGCCTGCACTGAATTATCAAACAAGATTCTATTGTCAAGTTGCTAATGATATTAACATTTGTAATATTGAATTGTAGAAATACGATTTTTACAAAATCAACAGAGATAGCATTATACCCATCCATAATATATATAGTCGATTTACACTGTGTAAGTTCATAGTAGATCAAAGAAAACTCATCAAATATATAGCAGTAATCCTGATAAACAGACATTTTCATATGTAATTGCTTTAAATTGTATTTCTATTTATTTACGGATTTTTATGTATTTTATTATCGCATTTATTTATTATATACTGATGTTGATAAACAATACAAATAAATAACAATTGAAATCATATCATAATTTATTCAAAAAATCGACACTAACAGATAATGGTTAACTTTATAAATAAGCAGTAATCGGGTATTGTTTTTTTGAATTAATTTATAATAATAGTGTCTACTGATACTAATTTATGATTAAAAAAGTATAACAAACTGCATGCTATTTATTTTATAAATAAAGAGCAATCAGAATATACATTTTAAAGGATAGAAAACTGCTGATTGGTATCTGATTTGTAACAATGCCGATTGCTATTTATTTGAAATATTGAAATCTCAGATATTCAAATCTATTTACATCAGGATGGTTGCCAATTTGTCAACATTTTACTAGTGATATCAAATTCATCTAATGACTGAACTTATTCAAAAAAGTTATCCAAATTTTTAAGGATTTGAGTGCATCATTACTTAATTTTTTATGATCAAACATTAGTGTCAGTAGCTTAGCAAAAATTTTTTTTAAAAATACAAGAAATGTTTATTTTTAAATACAGGATGTTAAATAATGTTCACTATTTTTTTGGGTTACAAATTGGTATTGATATTCACATCTTACTGCCTAGGTATTATTTTTAAAAATAGTAGCAAATAAGTACCAAATTAGTAAATAAAAAAATAAAGATGTTAAAATGTGATATTTTATTTATTCACTCAAATAAAACTGAATAAATTTTAGTAAAAAGAAATTTAAATTTATTTATTTATTTTCTATATTTTTGCCATTTATTAATTTCTTCATCTAATTTTTTTTCTACATCTATTATTTGGTCTAATTTTATTGATATAAATCGATGACAAATGATTTTTGTCATTTTAGACACAAAATTTCTAAAATAATATTAGTAATAGTACATTTAAAATAAAATTAATTTATTAAAATTTATATCTTTATTTTTATTATCAATTGTCTTATTGATCTAAACCAATTTTTTGATTGAAAACTAGATATACAACTGAATACAATAATTTATAGCTAAAATAATAATAATAATAATAATAATAATAATAAAAATAATAAAAATATTACATATCCTTTATAAAAAAACCCTCCAAAAAAAAATAATAAATATATAAAGAAGAAAGAAAAAAATATAAAAAATATCTATCTAACAAGATCTGAAAAACTACAGGCAGATTGAATAACTATTCTAAGCAGTTCAGTATCCACTCACCTTTTTTCTTTTTGAAAAGGATTTATCTTTTCATTCTTGTAATTTTTTTCACTACTTTCATAGACTATTATGATAAAATATTAGTAAAAATAAGTAAAAAAAATAAGAGATCACAAGAAATATATTTTTTTGTTTTTATATGAAAAATGTATCATATATCCTAAACCCTAATATAATTATTTAATATGTATACTACCACTTTTTTTTAATATACAATGATTATTTGACTATATATAATATTATACAGTATATGCAGTACACAATATATTAAATATGTCATTACCTAAAAAAAGATTACATTGACTGATAGTCAAAAATATGAATTATGTTTCTATGCTTATAATAAAAAAAGGACTCATTCTCAATATATAAATTAGATTGAACAGAAATGGAAATTAAAAGTTAATAAGTCTACTATAATATGAATTTTGCAAACTAAAGATAAGAGACTTACTACAAAAGTAATTAAACCAGATGCAAAACATTATAAGAGTGTTGTTGTTTCAGAACTTGAGCTTGCTCTTAAGTAATTTGTGTTAACCTACCAGCATAAGACTATTTTAAGTAATGATTTACTGATTGAAAAGGCTAAATTATTAGTTAATGAACTGCAAGTACCTCAGGAAACATTACAGATTCGTTGAATTTTGTTTAATTTTACTTAAATTACTTAATTTTATCCAATTTTGTTAACTTTGCTTAATTTACTTTAAGTTCACTTTAAGGAATATTTAAAAATATTTTTATTTATTTTAATTTAATTTTTTACAATTTTCTAAGGGATAACTTCAAAGATTTAAGGATCGTTATGGTATTCGTTAAATAAAACTTTATAAAGAAGTAGATTCTGTTAATAAAAATGCTATAGCTGAAGCTTTACTATTATTAAGACATAAATGTACAGAGTATTCTCTTGATCGAATCTATAACATAAATGAAACTGGACTTTTTTACCAGTATTTTTAATTTTATATTATTTTATATAAATATCAATAGTTATTATTTTCTTATATTAATATTACTTTAAAGATTATAACCTAATAAAACATTAGCTACAAGGTGTTTTTTTGAATGTAAAAAAATAAAGAACATCTTTCTATTGCTATATGTACAAATGCAGATAGATCACATAAGGTACCTCCTTTAGTAATTGATAAATATGTCAATCTAAAGTGCTTTAAAAATATTAATATTGGTAATTTACCAATAACTTATCAGAATAATGCTAAGGCCTAGATATTAACAACTTTTTTTCAAGAATAACTTCTGGAATTTAATTATTAAGTTAGCATAAAACACAATAAATAACATATTTTGCTACTTCTTGATAATTATATAAGCCATAAATTAGAAAA